GCGGGATGGCTCTGCGCCGTACTGTTGCCCTTACTAGCTCGAGCTGTTAGGCGTAGCGTTAACGGGTATAACGGTAGCAATGGCGACGACAACGCCGCAGTAGCTACCGCCGATAAGCAAACAGAGATTAATACTAGCAGTGTTTCTAGCAGATGGTTGAGCGGAAGCAAGAAAAAGGGGAACGATGTTCTACGGGGCGAAAGAACGACAGACAAACGGATAGCGAGAAATCCAGCGACCAGTAGAAGCCGCAACGAAGAAGACAGCGTGTGAGAAAGCCTCGCTCTTCACTGTTTCTATCTTCCTCACCTTCACGCTGGTGTTGATGCTACCAACAACGATAGTAGCGATGCTCATGTCATTTGAATATATATATACATATATGTTGTAATACTTATAGGCAGGAGTTGTTTCACTGTGGTCGCAGTTGTAATGGTCAATGAAAATTGCTTCACTAAAAACAGGAAAAGGTCTGTTGATCCAAAAAACGTTTTTCCGGTCCCAGACGGCACCGGCTGTTTACGGTGACACTCCTAAAGACAGGAAAGAGATGCGCTGATGCTAGCGGCTATAATTTGTCACGGCCAGTAGAAGAATTGTTTGAAGTAAGAAAAATAGCGTTGAAGAGTCAAAAAGAAGTGGGCGATTGTGTTCGTGGTACTGTTATGTGGTAACAGCGTACACTGTACGATGATCATTTCGATCCCTCTCTAAGCGGATTGCGCATAGGTACCGACCTCAGCTATCCTTTCGGTGAAGTTTCTACATGCAGATAACGGTTAAATGCTCACAAACTCCTGTGACTTTCCTCTTAACATGTCTGTCTATATATAGACACGTGTTTCGGAAAAGCAGGTTTATTGGAGCTGATGTTTGTTGTATTGAAACAGGTACATGACCATTTTTACAAACACCAACCAAAGTTCTGCCTTGAATATTCGGTAATCAGTTGCACAAATTGATTTCTGCAGCTATCGCAGTTGACGAAGTATCATAAGCAGATCACTGTGGCCTGGTATCGGATCCTTGCGACCTTGTATGGATCAAGTAGCTTTGTTAATCCCCGTTTATTTTGTCTCCATGAATTATGAACACTGCATGAAATATACCGTTCACAACAGATAGTCATACTACTACTTTGTTTATAGCACGAATATCTTTAGATAATTAATAACAAAGACAGTCCTCGACCGACTCCATGTCCTGCCACCCTTTCTATTGACAGACAATGATATCACAGTCTCATGCAAGAAACAGTCTTTTCTTTATAAACCGCGTTGCTTGGATTTTGCAAACACTTACCATTTAGCTGAAAAGAAAATGTTAGTTCGTGTCCAAATACCGCTGGCCTATTGTCATAGTACTTATTATTAAAACATTCGATGTATTTACACACTCACACACACACACACACACATTGGGTTTTGCAATTCAGCGAGGAAACAGATTTCTCAAGAACGGCACAGTGTACACAAAAACGTGGTAGTAGCAGCAGCAGCAGTAGCAGCTGTCGATTACATTGTAGGCCTTGGATTTAGCAGAGTCAGCTTTGCTGTATCATGACAATATTCAGTCATCAACTGAATATATCCGCTGCATAGTAGAAATTTTAAAACTATTTTGTGAATCGCTGGAACTTGATAGAGGGGTCTAATTATGTGGCGCATGGAGGCGCTAATTCCTCTAAGCAGCCCGTGACAGGTTCGGATAAACCGACATGATAGTTTAAGGTTCCTGATGGCGGATCAGTATGTATGAACATATATCATTATAGTACATTCGACACTTATACAACCAGCCTACACATGTATTGACTGATTGAGGGTCTGATAACATACGATAGAAGACTGTCTGCAGTATATCGGCAGATGCTATTACAGATCCGTTCAAAGATGAACCCTATACGGAGTTCCTATTGAACGAACGAACGTATAGGATTTGTTGTGGAGGGTCATTTGATTTAGACGCGCTTAAAACGATAACAGCTTTCCATCAGTTTACTCTGGCTGTAGCAGTATATATCAAAATAAACGGCCATAACGATTCTGTTGATGCTCGATATACTCTTCGCTCTTCTACGTTAATGGATAGTTCAGATAAAACCTATACAGGTACGGAGTACCGCTCAGTAGAATACTAGACGTCAATACAGGTGTTAAAATCTCAATAAAAAAAAAAGTTACCTTCGCTGATTCAATCGATTTCCATGGCTGTTTAGCATTTAATGTTTCGGTCGAGCACGACCCGTGACCATTCTCTCAATACACCATTCGTTAACAGTGTTAGTTGGTGGGTGTGTGGAGATCCCCCACCCCCAACAAACTTCAATCGGACCTTAAACTATCATAAATTTTTTTTTTTCAAATTTTTCTTTCAAGAAACGAAAGGCTTCAAAAGTGCAGTTCGTCCCATGGAATAGTATAGTATTATACATATTCAATTTTGCCTTAGGTAATTTCAACGATGCCGGCCTCGATACTTCGGTTTCTGACATGGCTCATACTAAATCTCACCTAAAACGAAAATGGCAAAAAAAAACAATGATTGTTCTGTCTACTTTTATTCTTTTTTAGATTTTCCTAATCTGATCGCTAGTCGAAATCAAACATATACTAATCTATCATTTAATGGAACATGTTTTTAAAAGGAAATCTAGTAGTATATAGATAGTATGATTATTTTTGCGAGTTGAAGTTAGCGTGAGCGGTTTCACCATGTTTTGCCACATACTTTTTTTAATATCTAGATGCGACTTAAGTGTGAAATGAGTGTTAGGCACAATAGCGCAAAATCTTTTCGGCTAATTGAACTTACTTATTTTCCTCGAAATTAAGTTCCCTTTCCTACGTGCATTAATGTTGTAGATTCCACTGCTTAAGTCTCTCTCTCTCTCTCTCTCTCTCTCTCTCTCTCTCTCTCTCTCTCTATTCATATGTTCTACTAGGCGATTTCTGATCTATAAGCTAGTTTCCATACCATGCGTGTCCAGCTTGTCCTGGTTTGATCCTCTAGCTGTGTCTGATGATGATTGCTTTACGTGAGGCAGGAAATAATTGGATATTGACTCTGCCGTAAAATAACGTCCAGTCAAATGATCTCGTCAATCGCACTACTGCATTCGCAAACGCATCGATCGATTCAATTGACCCTAGTTTTCGGGCATCCCCAGTTGATAATTAAATTAGCCCAGTGATCTAAAGAGACCAGTCGTGTACTGTACTAATGGGTTGAAGCTATGGATCGTGTTGTTGGTTGAGCTTTCCGTATAGCTCTTGCACCCGTTCGCGTCTGTCAAGTATAGAAAATCTGAGTGCTATTTTTTTTAAATGGCAAAATCAATACGATTAAGCCAGCAACTAAACTAATGTAGGATTTCTCTCTAAATATGACAACAGTACAATGGCTGGTGCATTACACACTGTAGATCTAAATTAAAGCTCGCAAATATCATTATAGGTACGTTTTACTGTCATCATTTCTTTACAATCTACGTGTTGTGAAAAGCCACACCACTGATTTTTCATGTTGCCGTCACCGTAAACGCTTTCCGTGCGCGTTCATCTACACGACGTTTTTAGCTAAACATTGTCCGCGTTGAAACCAATATGTATCTTCAGTGGTCTCTCCCTCGCTCGCTTTCTACAAGCTTATTATCGCAGAGACACAGTAAGTAATTTTGTTTTTTTTCTCTCTTCTTCCTATCAGCCAGCGCGTGCTGGTTTTAGTCGCGAGCCAGGAGATTATCCGAGAAGGCCAAAAAAGCCCATTGGGCTCGTTTGGCCAGTTACCAGTAACTGGTGTTGGTACCAATATTGAGTGAACGGTTGCCTCTAATACCTCTAACCTCTATAGTACCGTCCGCCGATGCCGCTGGCGTCTGCTTTCGCAGCCACGAGTAGCACTGGTGTCTACGGCAATATGACAAACCACTTCGGGGTGGATTCGTTCATCGATAAATCACATCGCGCGGCTATACTATGGGCCCCTCTAAGAAAGAAGGGAGAAGTTCACCTATAGACAGACGGACACAATCGCACAAACAAAGACGAAGAAATGTTGGTAGCAAAACGGAGGCGGCGGCGGCGGCGGCTGCTGCTGCTGCTGTTGTTGTTGTTGTTGTTGTTCACAAACACAAACCGGCCCATTGCCGTGCCTGTCGCCGTGGCCGTCGCTGACGTCTGATCAATACGACACGCTCGTATATAACTATATAGCATGTTGCGTACGTCTAGCGCCTGCTACGACGTTCCGCTGTAATGTCACTTCACTATGTTGTGACAATAACAACGATAGTAGTAGCAAAACGCGTAAGGCCGCTACCGTTATGTTCTGTATGTGCTGTCGTTTGATTATAGTTACTGATGATCATCAGTTGGCGAAAATACATCTACGTGTATCGTATGTTTATGAGGAAAGCGAATGTGCTTGGTGGCCTGTTACTTATGAACTGCGTAAGTAGGAAACGAAATTCAACATAGTGGGGCACTTACTACCGAGAATCGGTCTTGAGAACCGATACATGCGAAGGCCGGATAGCGCAATATGAAGCTGTCCTAAGACGTATAAATGTAAAACTGATAGAAGCCTCACGTTACACAGTTGGTCACCGGATCGAAAAGATCGGATTCAATCGGCTTCTTGAAAAGAGTTAATAGCAGATAGTCTTTGACCTGACAGGGTTTCTCGACCAAACGTTCATTAGAGACACAACAGGCGTATACAGCCATAAATGTAGGGCCCTATTTAATGTTCATATGCGTTTATTTATTTGAGGTAAGGAAACAGGTAATTACACAACTAAAGAAAGCTGTTTCCACTCTGTTCTCAACTATAGATACATAATCGATATGCGTATTAGAGAGTTGGGTGTATATATCGTAACCCTTTTTTAGGGGCGTCCGGTCTTCCTGGTATTGCTGAGACTTCGTACTATTGCATATTGCTTTTAGTTAGATTGCGATAGTGCGACTTTCCTCTAAAGTTGTGAAATTTCATTTCAGCGAAAAGCCTTTGAGAGAAAAATAGGACGTTGGAAGCTCGCGCTAAGGTTAGCGAAAAGGGAGACCTGTCATACGCGACTACTTGTATAGTCAACCTATAACTTACCTCAAAAACTTCAGCGTCCTTTGTTACAAGTTGTTTGCCATGACCAAAGCCTGCCTTCCGGCCGCACATGTACTCGCTTTATGAAGAAAAAGGTCCGCAGCGTGCCTATTTTTTTTGCCCGTCCTGCAAAAATCATTTGTTTACATATCGCGTATGACTAGCGTTAGATCCATACGTATGAGGCAGTCAGTGCGTTAAATGATTCATATCTTCGCCACGTCTGGAGTAGTCAAAGTCTAACACAAATAATAACTAGGGAAACCTACACGAATGGTCTGACTGTCTGTCTATATGAATAATATTCTAATCGGTTTAATCGTGGCTGATATTTAGCGCAATGAACAGGACTTGAAGGATTCTAAGGATAGCCACTTTACGCGCCTCAGGAAATATTGCTTTTACAGTGAGATCGGAGATAGCGAAAACACAAGGTAAGATTGTTCTAAACCAATTGTATACTTTTTAAGCTAGGCAATTCTCGATAGAATCGTCAGCGATTCTCCGAAATACCTTCCGTAGCGTGTTGTTCTCGAATTTTATTTCTTCTGCGACAAAATATATAGTGTCTGAGCGTGAAACAACAGACCAGCATCCTCATGATGATGATAATGCTTGTGGAAATAATTACGGTTTTCCCTGTTCAATGGTAGACGAGAGGTACGTAGGCGTTCACAGAGAGTGACTTTGGTATCAGCGATATTTGGCTTTTCCGACCAATGCATTCGCTCAGGCAGTGCCGATCAGCTGTTGTGGCGATGCACCCAGCTGTTCTGATCTCCTAGAAGCGTCTGAGCTTCCGTTCGTAAAAGCCCACGCTCTATTGATCCAGCCCGCTCTAACAAGCCGTGCTAGAGTATACAACACATAGCCTTGTCCTCTATAAAATATCTTATAGGGATACTATAAGATTTTAAGGGTTTTGCATTTACTTTGCTGTGGTCGGCCATCGGCACGTACAGAAAAAAAGCACGTGCGTTAGCCAGACCATATATCTCAGCTAACCATTTTATCGATATCCATTGTACATTGCACGTCCGTTCAGTCTGGAAGAGCTTCCTTTAGAAACCTTTTCTAGACCTTCTCTACGTATTCACACATGTTAGGCCGTAGGTATTCAAGGGTTGAAGTTGGAGGCTTTTGCCTTATATATCGTGAGGTGTCTATGCCAACACGGCGACAAGAATTTTTTAATTCAATTGCAGATTTTATAATGCAATGGATACTGGAATCTATAGAATATGTAGCTCAGAATGAATAAGATTACGGTGACCAGCCATGGCTTGTCTATGAGTATATGAGCTACGGTATTGCTTGACAATAGTAGGATATACGAATTGCTTGTGTGAAAAATGTATAGCAAATTTAAGCTTATTTATTTAGCACTTTATTTTGTTTTGAAATATGGTCTATAGCCAACGCACACATTTTGCTATAGTTTTTGCAGAAACACTATTTGCGCGCCAAGAATGATCGTTTCAATTTCTTCATGCAGACACAATTTGAATGATGTCAAGTACTAAATACGTTAATGTGAACTATTCTTAGATAGGGCAACACTATATCGTTTGCCCATATCAAACCCCATAACACTTCGATGTAAACTGGTATTACATGTCTTGCATACATCCATGCGGCTCGTTTTAAGTCTTCATCAAGTTAGCATAGACATTTAGACGACGACGACGACGGCGAAACTTCTATGCACGTTCGTGCGGGTTCCGTCTGATAAGATGCCTAACGGTGGTGCCGGACGTACAACAACGAAAATCTCAACATTCATTTTATGCTTTTATCGAATGGATCAAGCTTAATGACGAACATCGAAAATAAATTTTGTATATGAGAAGTCGAACAAATCGTTAAGGTCGAGGGTAGCCAGCGGTATTAGGGGAACACGTATATGGCAATGAGTGTGACGACCTTTATCGAATAAATCGTTCGATACGTACAGAAGGGTCAGAAGATAATTGAATGTCTGTCTGGTGAACATATACTGGAAGATGGACGAAAACGGTGTCACTACGGGAGCTACTTCGCCCAAGTGAAGGCTGGTGCAGTCTTAGCTTGCGTAATCGATCCCATCACAATGATCGTTCAAGCTGGCCTCTTGGAGATCTATACAGGTCTAAAAGGTTTAACTAAATTTGTCTGTAGACTGAATATAGCCAGAACCTCCTGAACGAGCATGAGCTAGTTTCCTGCGGCACGAGCTATCAGTTCGATATGCAGAGACCATACTGAAATCTATGGCTATAAAGTATAGCTGTGCGATAAGTTTATGTTAGGAGAGCTCCTAGCCTTTGTTCAATCGCCGAGGAAGTTGAAAGAATGAAACCTCAATGGTACCACATATTATACAAATGTGGCAAACGTAATCCTACCAATCGTTTAGCACGGCAATTGCTAACGCCGTCATCTCTATTACGAATGTACGTCACGCGACGTTTTGGCGCTGCAGAGAGATATAATATAGCGGCAAAGTGATAATAGGCGAAAAAGTACTAGCGTCTTTTTTTGGGTATGTAGTTTAGCTTAAATGACTAGCGGGCTTGTCTGATAGCGGGTCATAATGTTTCCAAAAAACAAAAAAAAAAAAAAAAAAAAGCGATTCTACCTTGAACGCCCTTATAAATTTATAATTCACTAGTTGTTCTGCGGGGACTATTTATTTGTAAGCACACTTTAGCCATTCCAATATTAGTTACGTGGCAATTATTTATCTAGTAATCTACTCACGAACGAAACTTCGAACTTGAAGGGTTCAATTTCGCGTACAATCATTACGTAAGATCTGTATTTGTTGCTTGAAATGTCGTTTTTGTTGAATTGTTATTTGTTTGAATAATAACTATAATAAAATTATATGACGGGATAATTTTTGACTAGTAACAATGAAACTGACTGTGACTGATTATAAACAATGATCAATTATCCGCTTCGAGCTGTTACGTAATGGCGACTCGTCTCAAAAACAATTGCATGAAACGCTTCGTCACCATCTTTATCTCTAAAATTCAAACGTTTTTATTGAATACAAATTTCTCGTTCTAGTGAGTCTAAAACCGGATAAGATTTGCAACGGTCTAAAACCGGATAAGATTTGCAACGAAGGTGTGATCCTTATCTCGGCCCGGTCATAGACCGGACGCTACGGCCAATCTAATGCTTGTATTGTTCTTGTCTATTTTTTGCACATTATACCTTGCAGAGTGTAAATGCAATGGACACGCACGCGGCTGTCGGTTCAATATGGAGTTGTACAAGCTTTCTGGATACAGGAGCGGAGGCGTCTGCCTCCGATGTCGGCATAACACGGCTGGTAGATACTGCCATCATTGTAAGGAGGGATTCTATCGGGACGTCACTAAACCGCTCAACCATAAGCGTGTGTGCAAGTGTAAGTCACCATTTCTTTCATATAGTGAGTCTCCTGGCACTTCCAAAAGAGTGACGACGTAGTTTTCCTTAGAGGACCTCAAAGAAGCGTACGACCATGCTATAAGTGTAAATAAAAAAGGAGAAGGCTTGAAACTACCTATATTTGTCAAGTGATGGCTCTAAAGAGGACCAGCATGTTATGCGATTGGTGTCCGTTCGAAAGCTTTTCTTATAATGTGGGCAAACCGTATCCTTAGATTGATTGGCTGCCCCGTTGAAGTTATTAGAGAGCACGCAATAGTTGCTCAGTGTTCAGGATGATTCGGTAAAATACAGGTCCTGACATTGACATAGATCTAAAACTGCTATCTACATTATTGTTAGTGAATTTTAATAAATAATCTTTAAAAATAACATATCATTTCGGCAGAACGTGCCGTTATCGTTGTTTTTTTCCAGCGATTTTTATTGCATCGACAGAAACAGCTCGAGGTGATAATGCACCCTTTTTCATGGGGTAAATGGAAGAAAATTCTTGCCGACTGCCAGGTCAATACCCAACGATTGACTGCGAATTGCGCTGTCTTTCAAAGGTGGCCAGTTGTAGGAAAACTTCTACATCCGAACAAGTCATTAAAATATCGCTATAGAGTATTGAATTGTCAAAATGTTGACCGTTCAAGCAGAGGTGAATGTATGTTCAGGAATATTTCACATGTAGTACTCAGTAGGGGGACAACAATGAGGCTTGCTTGGTTTATCGCAATAGCTGAAAACAAAGATCTCAGCTTTTCGTAGAATATTTGAGGAGTTGCGTAGAATTAATGGGGAATTCATATAGATTACTACCTGGCTCAGTTTTTGGCAACATGTGCCGCCGTTTTAGCGGACCATCAGACTTTTGAAGGGATGCAGTTTCAAAGCACAGAATATGTTGTGTCTAATTCTTTGTCTTACCTAAGCCGCAAAATTCTTAAAAATGTTTTCACATCAAGCCCAATGACACACCACCTTTCGATCTATTAATCAGATCTCTGACCAAGAAGGACACTTGTTACAGCAAGCGTAAACTTGCGTGGAACGTCTTCGAAACCGTAGTTGACGCACGCCTCAATAATCGCTAGATATAAAATGCTGAATCTAAAAACCATTTCGAACATCTCAAAAGTTTACTCAGATCTATTTATTACAGATTTACTAATGATAACTAGCCCAGACTAGTCGGCGTTGCGAGACGCGAACATATGCTCATTACGCCCTAATCGTTATGATCAAGCAAACAACTATTTTCTATCGGATAGCTCACGAAAAACACTACAAATTAAAGATTTTGTTAACGATAGCGCGGACTAGTACCAGGCTATGACAAAAAACAAGAACGCCGCCTCCACCACAAAAAGAGATTTAGCGGAAGACAGTTAACAAAAAAAAACGAGCACTTCTTAATCAGAATTAACCAATGGGTAGTCCCACCGTGTGGTGGGAGTTCATCCTCTCAACACGTTTTCGATTCCCTCTGCGGAAGTAGGTGGGGCCACTACCCGCGTACGCCTCTTGAATGAAGCCTATGGGCCGTCTATATGATACCACGTAAGATTATAAATGATTGTTCAAAGCGTGTGTATAGGGCAGCGTTGTTTACTAGCAATGAAATGCCGCTAGCTGGGTCGGTGCTGACTTGCACTTGTGAAACATTACAGGTTTAGGGACCACCGACGTGACGGATCTGGCAGCTGACATAGTAGCATGCGATGGCCTTTTTAAAGTGAAAAAGAAACACGCAAAGGCATGACGCCCAGATGTGTTAGATCTTCCTGGTTTGGGTCTAACACATTTGTAGACATTCTCTGTATGGCTATTGGGTTTTTCCCGTACAGAAGACGTCGAGCGGTTTTGTGTTTACTGGGGGATGTCACAGCAGGGAGCCTTATCGATTTATTTTTATGGCTTGTTTACTGTGTTCACTTTTAAGCCAACCATATTGATGGTATTTAGCATAGTTCTATGTAAATGGGGACGTCAATGGATGTTTTGCACATTGAGGTCTTGCATGTCCGCAAACAATGCCTACATTTCGAGGAAACCAGTAGAGAATGCCTTCTCAAGCGATAACGGACCTTTCAAGTCCTTTGTTAAAATTATATATATATATATTCAGTATGTATGAATTCGCGCGGCTTGCTAAATTTGGCTACAAACAATATAAAATTACACTCCATTCGATGCCATTTGAGGTTATTTCTTAAACTAAGTGCAGCCAAGTAGGTGGTACATTAAGTTGCCCTAAAAAATAAATCAACTTCTACATTCTTGGCGTTGTGTGTCAATTCGAAACACGCTGACTAAAACTCTACTCATTTTGCCAACCACTTTATCTAACCACGTTATCTTGGCCATTATTATAATTACTATAATAAATGAGAAAGTGCTTTGGTAGAAACTGTATATAGCTAGAATGCAAATCGTCCATCTAAGATAACATCCTTCACATAACTCCTACCGGCTTGATATTGCGTACATCAGCTGAAATAGCAAGCCAGCATGGCGCAGACGTAGTTGTCCCTGACGCAATATTACCCCCGGGGCATAGCGCCGTTGCCGCTCAGCGTTCACCGGTCCACTCCACCATCATCGTCGTCTGCCTATTTCAATGAGAATTTGCCATCGTCATGGCAGCACCGACGCTGGCTGGACTTCTTGCGGGCCAGAGGCTTCAGAGAAGCCTGCCGTATGCCCGCTGGCTATCGACAACAACAGGCAGCGTCGCCAATTGAGATGAGTCGAGGCGAAACACCGAACGTTCCCACTAACGTTTCCCTTCTACTCGGAACTGCCTTTAACAGAACAAAAGTTCAACATTTTCAGTTCCGTCGGGTCGCGGTGTTTCTATCATTTAGAGAGGCGTGAATCGAATAGTTGAATAATTTTCTCTTTTTCTGTGCATAATTTATCTCGAGCCTAATTTCTGCAAATAATAAGTATCTGCACGCCTGAAATCAGGCGGGCGGAAGCAGAAAAAAGCTACCAGGTTTCGTGATATAGATTTGTTTGCATGGTGTACATATTACTTAGAATGCCAATGTCGGAAATCGTAAAGATGAAAATCGGGCTTTTCAAACCATGCAAAATACGCTGTGAAAATGTATCCTTGCAAATATAAACTATTCGTCAACTTCGTTAGTATGTCTGTTTCCCAAACTGATCTGTTTAGAACGCACCGCCAGAATATTTGATGCTGTTTTTTTTTAAATATAATAACGATAATTGTGATAAAAACGGATGACAATCAACGACAATGATAGCCATCCGTTTTTAACAGAATTTCATTAAATTTTGTCCTTTTATTCTGATTGCTTTGAAATTATGGGTATTTAGTAGGACAGGGTGTTAGTAACGAGTCCATCTAAAACGCAGGTACAACAGGCGGCACCGTTCAACTTTATAACAATTGACTATCAGTAGGAAGCAGGCCTATGGGTTATCATAGCGTTTTTGAACACTTGATGTGTAAAAGTATTCCATTATATCTAGTGCCAAAAAGTAAGAGTCGCGCGTTTCCAACGACACAATTTCATCAATGTGCTTTGCAGGCTCATCAGCGAAATATGGGTGGAATTCATTAGTAGATAAGTGACTCCAAGGAAGTCAGTAGTCATGAATCTGGTCGAACCCTTGTAGGTTACCGGAGTGCTCATGGAAAGAACGTTGTGAATTAGCTGCTTTGAGTCAGCGATTGGATGAACCTAAGCTTATTGCAGCTTCGGCCTTTTTAAATATAATAAATCTTGGGTCGGGACATCTATTGCGACATAACGATACGTCTCGTTAACGCTTGCAATCAACATCTCCCATTCGTCACCGATCACAATCTTCGACGTCTCAGCAATCGCCGTCCGACAGCCTGCTTTTTCGTATGCACATAAATGGCCAACCACACAATTACCTCGTGTTTCTCCCTGTTCTGGACTTGTTAACTTAGCACTTACTCCCATATCAGCTAACATGCTTAGCCTGACCGGAAAAACGTAACCGATCTTCACTAGCCACTCTTGTCTTCAACTTCGCTCATAACAACCAGGTACACGACGATGATTCGACGCTGGCTCGGACGCGAAATTGAAAAGCTATAGCAAAAGCGGGCTCCGGAGGTCGTGTGCCTTTTTTCATTCAACTTGACGGGTTGGAAGATGGTAGCGGATCGGTTAGTGTACTCGTTTTAACTCCTTGACCAACGTCCCCGATGTCAGCCAGCGACCAGGTTGTCTCGGCTAGTCCTTATGTTTGCTTGGAGTGCTGGGCACAATCGTCGTCAAGTCGTGGAGTAGAAGAGAGGATGGGGCGTAAACGAGAGGTCGCAGGCTAACAAGGAAGTGCGGCCAGGCAATGACTTGCGCTGAAGTTCACACTGTGGATTGAATCTAAATTGGAAAGAGAGCAGAGGTACGACGACTGTGAGACAGTGGATCCTTGAAATCGAAATAAAGTTGTCAAATACCTCTGTGGATACGCTGGCCAACTATGTATGGTACGTTCCGATGGTCGAATTTTTCTCTTCTTATATTTGACAGGCACCTTGACTCCCACAAAGGATTTTTGGTTAATACTACGGCAGGCGGCATCGCTTCGATGCTTTGTTTGTGTTCTTTCAAGTTTCAGACACCCTGGCGGAATAACACAAAAACATTTCGTATAAAAACGTAGTTCAGTGGTTTCATCGTCAGGTGAGACCGATCAATGAGTATTTGTTGACTATTCGTTAACCTGCATTGCATTCTACACAAAGGAAAAATGCAAGCAAATACGGCGGATGTGAAAATACATGATAATGGGAAGGATCTACTGGAATCAGTCGAGGAATAACGATTTTATTGTCTTAAACTAATTTTTTTTTGTTTGTTAATTTACGTGCATATTTTTTGGTGAGATTTTTCGGTGGAAAAACGAAAGGTAATATCCTGAGTAAAAATGTCAAACAATACATTTTCTACAATTCTATGTGGTCCTTTATGCACCACATAA